GGCAAAGTTAACCTCTTTTGTTATCTGATTGTAAAGCTATCAAATTAGCAATGGGTGGCTTAGTTTCTCTCCCTTTTTGTCTATGTGTTCCTCCCTCCATCACATACACTACTGCTAAATGTCATGAGGAAGGAGAAGTAAATCACACACACACACACACACACACACACACACACGCACAACAGGTTAAGCACAGCCTCGTGTAGGCATGCATATGTAAATTGTAGGGGAAGGGTTAATGTTTGTTTCTGTGTATCAATAGGCCTCACAGATTTTAGAGGCATAGGAATTTGACCCCAAGAGAGAATGCAACATAGAGAAGGGCATCATCTTTTTACTTTTCTGCATAGTTGCGCAATTGAAAAAATACTACCTCATGTATTTAAAATGTCATGTATGGTGTCTGAGGGATTCATATGGAAGTGGTTTATCTTCCGTGTGACTGAAAAACCTGGCTTCAGAAACTGAGAGTTATGCTCCTTATTCAGGCAGTATTAATACATATTCTTTGTGTAAACAAGGCAATTCATTTGGCTTGTATTTATATAAAGACCCATCTGCTGTTGGGAGATTTGAATCCGTCTCTGCTCTGTGGGATATGGCATCAGTCCCTGAAACCTCATACAAAAGAAATAATTAAGTAAAATAAAATGAACACTTTATAGAGACCTTTTTTTGTTAATATGGAACTTCCTTTTGCTTTCATCTGCATTCTGTATCACATTTCTAAACAAATCTACCTGAAATTTAAGTTTGATTTATTTAGCTTACTGTGCTTAATATGAGGTGAATATGTTTCTCCAAAGGCAAGCAAGCACATTTAAACCATTAACACTGAAATGATTTTAATTGCACTGTCAGAGCTCCAAAAAAGATAAAATTATTTTCAGCTTTAGTACAGATTGTTAGTGTTGTCAAAACCCAACCATCCATTTTATTCTACTTATCCTGTTCAGAATCATTGGGGGGGCTGGAGCCTGTCCCAGCTGTCAAAGGATGAGAGATGTGGTACACCCTGGACAAGTTGCCTGTCTGATGCAGGGTTATGTTATAAATATGCTGATTTAAATATACATTACAGTAATTTATTAAATATCTATGAAAATCAAATCAAAATATGGCAATAATTAAAATAACATTTGCAGTAAAGCAAGTTATACAGGTCGGTTTCAGTGTTCTGTTTCTTAAAAAATATTTACTGTTATAAAATGTTAACAGATATCACAGAAATGAACTGTTTATAGTCCCTAATTAGTATCTCCAGCAAGGGTATTCCTTTGATGGTAAAGCTAGTGGTTGCTCCATTGCAGTTTCCCTATTTAGCTCTATCCAACTCCCACCACTAATTCCTGCTCTATCTGTACTTTCTATTCAAACACACACACGTACACACACACACACACACACACACTTCCGC